AGGCTCCTAGAAAGGCTCTGGAGCCTGGGGAGGGGGAAAAATGGGCCTACCAGGCCCACCGGCCTATCGTGTGCCGAAAGTGGGGGGGGCATGGGGGGGTTGCACGCGCATGCGCAGGGGAGTGGGGTTCATTGAATTATGGGTGTGGGCACGCATGTGCGCGACCCCCCCCCACTCCCCTCTGCTTTTGGCATGCGACGGCAAAAAGGTTAGCCATCACTGGTCCATACGTTTAAAATAATGTACCCCAAGTATATGTACATGGAAATAGAAGGAGGGGGATGCAAATACAGGTGGCCCTCGGTTTACAACCAGAATTGGGACCAGAATTTCCATGGCTAAACCAAGGAGGTTGTTTAAGTGAGTTTTGCCCCATTTTACAGCCTTTCTTGTCCCAGTGAATCACTGCAGCTGTTAAGTTAGTCACACATTTTGTTAAGTGAATCTGGCTTCCCAATGGACTTGGCTTTGTCAGAAGGTTGCCAAAGGGGATCACGTCAGGGGTGGGCTTCAAAAATTTTAGCAAGGGGTTCTCTGCCTGGTTGCTGGGTGGGTGTGGCCATGGTGAGTGTGGCCTAGTTGGCCTCCTGCACCACGGCGGGGGGGACGGGACATTTTTGCCTTCTCCAGGCTCCGGAGGCTTTCCTCAAGCCTCCAGGAGGGGGAAAATGGCCTCCCCAGGCTCCGGAGGCCTTTCCCGAACTTCCAGTAGGTCTGTTTTTCGCCCTCCCTGAGCCTCCACATGCGCCCTGCACTTACCTACATCCAAAACGGGCCGCGTGGGGACTCCTGGGAGAGGAGGGGATGGGTGGGAGGGGCCAGCCAGGAATGGGATTTGGGGGTTCTCTGAACTGCACAGAATCTTAGCTAGAGGTTCTCCCAAATGCCTGCGAACCCCCAGCAGCCCACCCCTGGATCACGTGAATCTGGGGGGGGGGGACAGTGCAACTGTCATAAATACGTGCCAGTTGCCAACTTGCATCTGAATTTTGATCAGGTGGCTGTGGGGATGTTGCAACGGCCTTAAATGTAGAAAACATGTTCTGACAGTGAGAACAATTAATCACCGGAACGGCTTGTCTTTAGAAGTTGTGGGCACTCCAACATCGCAGAAGAGATTGGACAACCATTTTGTCTGAAATGAAATAGGGTCTTCTGTTGAGCAGGGGGTTGAATTCAGGGGTGAAATGCTCCCGGTTTGGACCGGATCGCCTGATCCAGTAGCGATGGCAGCGGGTAGTTCAGAGAACCGGTAGCGAAAATCCTTGACCTCCCCATGCCCAGCTGAGCCAACCGATCATCAGAGGCTTCCCCCCCCCTTTTAAAAGTATTTTTTGTACAACTTCTTTGGCCGAAAAAAAGCTTTTAAAAGTAAAAAAAAAAAAAAGCCTCCGATGATCGCGTGGCTTACTGGGATCGTCAGAGGCTTTTAAAAGCATTTTTTTTTCCTACAAGCTCTTCAGCCGAAGAGATTGTAGGGAAAAAAAAATGCCTTTAATAGCCTCTGACGATCCCAGCTGAGAAGCCTAATCGTCAGAGGCTTTTAAAAGCATTTTTTTCTGCAACCTCTTAAGGTTGTAGAAAAAATGCTTTTAAAAGTAAAAAAAGAAAAAGTTGGCCACGCCCACCCAGTCACATTACACCCCCCCCCCCCCCCCCCCCAAGTCCCCCCACAGAACCGGTAGTAACAAATTTTACATTTCACCACTGGTTGGACTAGAAGACCTCCCAGATCCCTTCCAACTCTTGTTATTCTGATTTTGGCCCCATTAGTGGGGGAGGATCAGCTTCCTGTGCCTTTTTGCCCCGTTTCAAGATGGCAGGGGGGGTGGGGGGGGGGCAAAGTTGAATGCCCTCCGTCTTTGCTGGGCCTGCTGGAAACGAAGAGATTGTGTGGCTCTCGGCTTCTGACAGCTGAGTGGAAAGAATTCCCTCACCCTTTCTTGGCTTCCAGGGGAAATGTGTATTTTGAAATTAATATTTCAAGCATCCTTCTTTCTTTTCCCTTTTCTTTGGCAGGGTAGGCTTGCAAGCAGGTCGTGGTTTTTAGTTTTTTGGCTCTCTTCCTATCCTTCTGAGCGTCCCTTCGCTCCTTTAATATGAAAGCAAGTGTATCTAATTCCGCCTCTTTCCATCTCGGGGAAAAACTTGGAAGCGTTTCAGAGGCCCGCGGAGGCATCTAACTCATCCAGCACTGGGAAGTCCTGCAGCTGAGGGTGCCCTTCTCCAACTTAGGGGGGGGGGTGGGGGGGGGGAGAGAACCTGTCGGCATGCCAAAGGTCGGAAAGGAGGGCAGCCGCTGCCCCTTTTATCGGTCCCCCTTTGGTTCTCCCCCTCTTTGACGGTGTGGTGGAATTCAGGTTGCAAGGGATTTGCCGCGCGGGCTGCTTAGCCTACAAACTCGATCTATGTATTTCAGTATGAAATTCTGCACCGGTGACACAAGGATTTGCTTGAGTAATTGATCAAACTATGTTATGTCTGGACTCTGGGGGGAAACGTGTGTATTTGTGTGTGTGTGTTTGTGTGTCAAAAGGTCTTAGATTCTAAGCAAAAGTAATGATGGATGCCAACTGTATCTCCTTGTGCAGACTTCATTACTAAATTTTCATGATAGTTTCTATATACCCAGAGCCTCTTCTGCTTGCTCTAAACCTAACCCGAGAAAGAAAGAAAGAAAGAAAGAAAGAAAGAAAGAAAGAAAGAAAGAAAGAAAGAAGAAGGAAGGAAAGAAGGAAGCAAAGGAAGGAAGGAAGGAGAAAGAAAGGAAAGAAAGAAAGAAAAGAAAGAAAGAAAGGAAGGAAGGAAAGAAGGAAGGAAAGGAAGGAAGGAATGAGAAAGAAAGAAAAGAAAGAAAGAAAAAGGAAGGAAGGCAGGAAGGAGAAAGAAAGGAAAGAAGGAAGGAAAGAGAAAGAAAGGAAGAAAGAGAAATAGGAAGAAAGGAAGGAAGGAAAGAAGGAAGGAAGGAGAAAGAAAGGAAAGAAAGAAAGAAAGAGGAAGAAAGGAAGGAAGGGAAGGAAGGAAGGGAAGAAGGAAGGAAAGAGAAAGAAAGGAAAGAAAGAAAGCCAGGCAGGCAGGAAGGAAGGAAGAAAGGAAAGGAAAGGAAAGAAGGAAGGAAGGAAGGGATGAAGAAGGGGAGGAGAGGGAAAGGAAGTGAAGAGAAGAAAAAAAATTTCTTAAATGTATAGATAAAAAAGTTAAAAATGTAAACATTAAATGTAAATCTTTCTTTTTGAAATTCATATATAAAACAAATTAGAGATTAAACAATCCTTCCTTCAATTCATAGATAAAAAAAGGTTAAAAATGGATACATTAAATGTAAATAGATCTTCCTTCAATTCAAAGATTTAAAAAAGTGAGCAAGGTAAACCTTAAATGTTTAGTCTTTCTGTCTGAAATTCATAGATTTAAAAAAAAAAAAGAGATTAAATTTAAACAGCCCTTCCTGAAATTCATAGATAAAAAAAAAAGTTTAAAAAGTATAAATGTTCTTCCTTAAATCCCTAGATAAACTTTATAGATTATTTTTTTTTAACAAAAATTAGATTAAAAATTCTCTCTTAAATTGATTTTCTTTCCTGAGACCCAAGCCTAGAATTACCAACGGGGTGGGGGTGGCAGGATGCTTGCCAGCCAACTCTGCTTCGGCCCCGGCCTTCCCGTTATTCTCCTCTTGCATGTGTAAGCTAAGCTCCGAGGACCAGCACTTCCAAGAAACCCAGGAGGAGAAGCAGCCAGGCGGGAAATTGCTTGATTAACATCCCTTTCAGAGCTTAAACTCTTGCCCCGGCTTTGCGATGGGTGGGAACAAGCATCGGTCCTTGGAGACAATGGTGGCCCAGTGGGGTTGGCTCAGTCCTGCTGGGTTCACACCTTCCCCCTCGGCCTTTGATGTTGGAGGCAAGATTTACAAGCTGACCAGCTTTCCCACTGAGCGCATTAGGAGCTAATTAAACCTTTGAATTTTCACCCGGCATGTGGCGGGAAATACACTCAGCCATCCCCGGGGACATCGGAAGGTTGGGGAGAACTGGAAGATGGAGAGCTGGGGAGGAATGGAAAGAGGGGCTCCCCCTCCTTCCCAAAAAAAAGAGGACAGGAGGGGAGATATAAAGGAAGAAGACCTTGATCCCTGGGGAGAAGAGGGAGCAGAGGGGAACGCTGTCCCTAGAGCAAATGCAGGAAAGGATTCCTTGAGGCTGAACCTGGTGGCATTGCTCTTTCTCTTTCTTTCTTTCTTTCTTTCCTTCTTTCTTTCTTTCTTTCTTTCTTTCTTTCTTTTTCTTTCTTTCTTTCTTCATTCTTTCTTTCCTTCTTTCCTCCCTCCCTTCCCTTCCCCCCATTTCTGTTTATTTCCTTTCCCTCTTTCGTTTTTTCCTTCCATCCTTCTTCCTTCCTCCCTCCCTCCCTTCCCCTTCCCCTCCCTTCATTTCTGTTTTATTTTCCTTTCCGTCTTTTGTTTTTCCTTCCTTCCTTCCTTCCTTCCTTCTCCTTCCCTTTCCCCTTCCCTTCCTTCCCTTCTTTCTGTTTATTTTCCTTTCCATTCCTTTCCTTTCTTTTCCTCTTTTGTTTTTCCTTCCTTCCTTCCTTCCTTCCTCCCTCCTTTCTCTTCCCTTCCCTTCATCTCTTCTTCTTTCCTTTGCTTTCTTTCATCCTTCTTTCTTTCCTTCTTTCTTTCTTTCTTTCTTTCTTTCTTTCTTTCTTTCTTTCCTTCCTTCCTCCCTCCCTCCCTCCCTCCCTCCCTTCCTTCCTTTCCTTCCTTCACCTGAACTTCAGTCCACGTTTTTTTTTTTGCTCCTAGCCATGCAGTAGCAGGTGATCTATTTCTCCACCAGGCCCCTTTTCAAACATTTGCAAGTCTTTAGCCTGATCTTCTCTAGTCCACCTTCCCCCATTCAGCCTCCTCATACCTCCTGGGCATCTCCTTTTCTTTCTTCCTCCCACCATCCCTGGAGAACTGACTCTTGTTTCCAACACTTTCTTTGCTTTCCTTTCAGAGAGAAGCTGTTTTCGGGGACTCCAGAAGCCCCTGCGACAGGATGGGCTCCGTAGCTGCTGTATGCCTGCTCCTGATTCTCTGTAGGGTGGACTTCTCCCAGGGCGTTAACCCCTTTGCCATGCAGCAGATCCCACCGGATCCTTGCTACGACGAAAAAGGGGCACCTCGCCGTTGCATCCCAGAGTTTGTCAACGCGGCCTTTGGCAGGGACGTCCATGCCTCCAGCACATGTGGGAAGCCCCCCACCCGCCACTGCGATTCGTCAGACCCCCGGAAAGCTCACCCGGCATCCTATCTCACGGACCTCAACACGGCGGCCAACATGACTTGCTGGCGTTCGGAGACTTTGCACCACTCTCCCCAAAATGTCAGCCTCACCCTCTCCTTGGCCAAGAAGTTTGAGGTCATCTACGTCAGCCTCCAGTTCTGCTCGCCCCGTCCGGAATCGGCTGCTGTTTTTAAGTCCATGGATTACGGCAAGAGTTGGGTGCCTTATCAATACTATTCGTCCCAATGCCGGAAGATCTACGGGAAGCCCAACAAGGCCACAGTCACTAAACAGAACGAGCAGGAGGCCCTGTGTACGGATGGCCACACCGATCTCTACCCCTTGACTGGTGGGCTCATCGCCTTCAGCACGTTGGATGGGCGTCCGTCAGCTCAAGATTTTGACAACAGCCCTGTCCTTCAAGATTGGGTGACGGCTACCGATATCCGGGTCATTTTCAGCCGTCCTCATCTCTTCCGGGAACTCGGAGGACGGGACCACGAGGATGAGGACGGTGGAGGAAGCTCATCTTCCTATTATTATGCCGTGGGGGAATTCCAGGTTGGCGGACGGTGTAAGTGCAACGGGCACGCCTCGCGCTGTGTGAAGGACAAGGAAGGCAAGCTGGTGTGCGACTGCAAACACAACACCGAAGGGCCCGAGTGTGATCGCTGCAAACCTTTCCATTATGATCGTCCCTGGCAGAGGGCCACAGCCAGGGAGGCCAACGAATGTTTAGGTAAGAGGGGTTTTTCTCCCCATCCTCTTTCTCAGCCTTCTGGTTCATCTTGTTGTGACCTCGGCTCACTTAGTCATTACAGGACACAATTAGTCTCAAACAAAACTATTTTATTATAACAGCTGAGAATGACTTCATTCCCAGCTTAGTCCAAATAAATTCCAAAACAAGTCTTTCAGAAAAAGTCCTTCTGGCTTATCACAAACCTTTATCTTCTTTGGCACTCTGCCAAAGGCCTTTCTTGGCAAAGCCCCACGAAGTTCAGAAACAAGCCGACTGGAAAACAGATTTAGCAATGTTGCTTTCCTACAAAGAGCCCAAGAGCCTTTGCTGCTCTTTTAAGCCTTATGGGAAGGGCCAATCATCTCCTGGCCTTACTCCTGAGTCGTCCTCTTTGCTTTAGCTGCTCATGCCTTCTGGCAGCTCTGCGCATGTGTGCACTAGGAACAGACTCCTCCTGTTCCTCTGCCTCTCTGTTGTCCGACTCTGGAGGCTCCGGAGTCCACGCATCACTCCCAGATGGCCCTGGCCCCATCTCTGCCTCCGGCGCAGAGCCCTCGTCTGGGCCTTCCCCAGACTCCAGGACTGGCCAATGTTCCTCCCCAGCCTCCTCACTGTCCAACTCCGCTGCCAGCTACGCAGGCTGCTGGCGGACCACAACACATCTGGTTTCAGGCAGTCAGAACTACAGTTGGTCCTCAACTTATGACCACCATTGAACCCAACATTTCTGTGGTTGAGTTGAGACATTTGTTGAGTAAGTTTTGCCCCATGTTGCGACCTTTCTTGCCACGGTTGTTAAAGGAATGACTGCAGTTGATAAGTTAGTAACTCGGGTTGTTAAGTGAATCTGGCTTCCCCATGGACTTTGCTTGTCAAAAGGTCGCAAAAGGGGATTGTGTGACCCTTGGACCCAGCAATGGTCATAAGTATGACCCAAGCGTCTGAATTTTGATCACGTGATCATTGGGGATGCTGCAAAGGCGGTAACTGTGAAAAATGGTCATAACTTTGAACGGTCACTAAATGAGTTGTTGTAAGTGGAGGACTACCTGTTGTTAGTTCTCCTGGAAGACAGAGGTATCCACAGTGCATATTGAAAAGAATGGGGCATCGATCACATGATTGGGGCTACCATCTTGAATTTTATATATTGTACATTTGGTATAAAAAATGGTTTGTCGTGAATGTGACTGCTTGAGGGCTCCTGGATTGGAGCTGAAAGGCGAAAGGGAAGCAGTATGCTCCCTCCCACATGTTGAGGTAGACCAGGTGCTTCGATAGAAAAACTCTTATATATATATCTCCATGTGGAAAATAGAACCGTTGGGAAACTGATAGGGAGGGAAGGCCAAATATTGTAGTAGGTAGCCTAAATCTTTTTTTTTTTAAAGAACTACCTTGAATAACTGGCTTATTATAATAATATCAGCCTTCCTTCCTTCCTTGGTTCTATTTATTCATACAGCTAGATTCCCTCCCTGCAGTGCAGTGATATTGTCAATTGATGCTCTAAGCACTATAATCTGAGATCAAGTCATGTTTTCTTTCTATCATTTCCTCTCTTTTTCTTCCTTTCTCCCTCCCTCCTTCCTTCCTTCCTCTCTTCCTCCCTCCCTCTCTATTTCTCACCTTTGGCCAACCTGCTCTCTGAAATAACATTGAGAAGAACAGGTTTCAATCAATCAATCAAAATAGAGCTAGAAGAGACCTTGGATGTCTTCTGATCCAACCTCCTGCTCAACCAGGAAACCCTTTCAGATAGGTAGCTGTCCAATCTCTTCTTAAAAACTTCCAGTCTTGGAGCACCCACAACTTCTGGAGGCCAGTTGTTCCACTGATGAATTGTTCTAACTGTCAGGAAGTTTCTCCTTAGTTCTAAGTTGCTTCTCTCCTTGATGAGTTTCCACCCATTGCTTCTTGTCCTGCCCTCAGCTGCTTTGGAGGATAGGTTGACCCCGTCTTCTTTATGGAAGCCCCTGAGATATTGGAAAAACTGCTACCCTGTTTCTCCCAAAATAAGACATCCCCTGATAATAAACCCAATTGGGCTTTTGAGCGCATGGCAATAAGGCCAAGCGCTTATTTCAGGGTTCAAAATAAATAAATAAATAAGACAGGGTCTTATTTTCAGAGAAACACCGTATCATGTCATCCCTAGTCCTTCTTTTCATCAAACTAGACATACCTAGAAGAAGCAAGAAAACCTTCTCCAAAAAAAAAGGAAGATTGTCCTTTTGAGTTAACCAGCTTTCTCTCACTTGCAAAATTCTTGAAGCTCTTGATGTTCCTCATCTCCCTTGATCTTGCTATGAAGCAGAAGCAACATTGGTTTGACACTCTAATGTTGCAGAATGGCCCAACAGTCTGGAGAGAAAGATGAATGGCATATTCATGAATGGAATAAGTCAATGAATAACTTCTGTTCATTTAAGCTACCCAATTCTTGTCTCTTGACATCACCTTTGATCTCGGTGAACCATCCGGACCAGTGAACTGATTCAACTGGAAACGTAGTGCAGGTTGGCTCTAATGCAACCCCAAACCACAAGTAAAAGAACAGGTAGATATTGTATTAACCCAGATCTGGGGGCTGTATTCTCACAGCATGATGAACTTGGTTATTGAGTTAACCCTTTCAATCTTTTCAATCCTATACTAATGAAACAGGCTGGGTTGTATCCCGCCCGCATATATACGCTAACCAAGATCAACCCTAATCTAAACATTGGATCATGTCACATGAACTGTTGATTAGAGCTTTCGTTGACCTGGGTTACATCTATTGACCTGTGTGAATGTCTATGGAGATCCAGGTCAGAATTGTCCCAAAGGTGCATTTTTCAAGAGGCAACTGTACTTTCTTGGGTTTTCTTTGAAGACGTTTCGCTTCTCATCCAAGGAGCTTCTTCAGCTCTGACTGGATGATGGTGGGGAATGGAAAGGTTTATATTCCTTGCGGTCATCTGGTCATTTGCGTTCTTTTAGACTGTGTGTGGGACACTCAGTGGTTAAGACGCTGAGCTTGTCGATCGAAAGGTTGGCAGTTCAGCGGTTTGAATCCCTAGTGCCGCGTAACGGGGTGAGCTCCCGTTACTTGTCCCAGCTTCTGGCAACCTAGCAGTTCGAAAGCAAGTAAAAAAATGCAAGTAGAAAAAATAGGGACCACCTTTGATGGGAAGGTAACAGTGTTCCGTGCACCTTTGGCGTTGAGTCATGCCAGCCACATGACCATGGAGACGTCTTCGGACAGTGCTGGTTCTTCGGCTTTGAAACGGAGATGAGCACCGCCCCCTAGAGTCGGGAACAACTAGCACATATGTGCGAGGGGAACCTTTACCTTTACACCACCCAGCCAAGCTCATATCTGGGGGAGATATCTCTTGAGCAGAGGTCGGTTTCAGCAGGTTCTGACCAGTTCTGGAGAACGGGTAGTGGAAATTTTGAGTAGTTCAGAGAACCGGTAGTAAAAATTTGGACTGGCCCCACCCCCATCTATTCTCTGCCTCCCAAGTCCCAGTTGATCAGGAGGAAATGGGGATTTTGCAGTAATCTTCCCCTGGATTGGGAACGGAATGGAGATTTTACAGTATCCTTCCCCTGGAGTGGGGAGGGAATGGAGATTTTACAGTATCCTTCCCCTGCCACGCCCGCCACGCCAAGCCAAGCCAAGCCACGCCCGCCAAGCCATGCCACACCCACCAAGCCACACCCACAGAACCGGTAGTAAAAATTTTTGAAACCCACCACTGAATGATGACGTCCGGGTCAGTGGGTGGAGCCTCTCGTCGATTTTACTACCGGTTCTTGCGAACCGGTCTGAACCGGGGCAACTCACCACTGCTCTCAACCCAAAGACAGATGCGATAGCCACAGAACCAGTAGTACAAAATGTTTGAAACCCACCGCTGCTCTTGAGCCTCCTTTGCTTGATTTGGGGTGGGTGGGTAGATGGGGAGCCCACCTTTTGGCAGATGGAGTGAAATAGGAAATTCAGCCAAGGTTTGGAGAGAAAGGGAAGGAGGGAGAGAGGCAGGCTGTGACTCTTTCAGACATCCCCAAGGAGAACAGCTCCACAAAGGCAGCTAAGCTGAGCCAGCCTGCCGTGTGAAACTTTCTCCTCTCGGCCCCATCTCCTCCTTTCCCCCTTTTTGCTTTCTGGGTCTTTGTTGCTGCTGTGTGAAAGGGCTCCTAAATCACACACCTCCAAAGAGGCTTAGTGGCTGAAAGCCGGATTAGCTGTCCAAGCATTTCCCCCTCTGTGTCTTTCAAATGGGACATCTCTCTGGCCAGCAGGAAGAGGCCCGGCAATTAGGAGCAATTAAAAGATGCCCCTCCTTTCCTGTCCCATGGCAGGGGAGGTTTGCTGCCTGTAGGCCAGGCCCACTGCATCGGGCAGGGTCTGCAGAGCCAGAACCAGGCCCTTCAGAAGGCCCACTTAAAGTTGGAAGCCCCTCTGCTGGCAAGGGAAAGGTGGGTCAAAATGGGCCAGGCTGAGAATAGGAATAGGAATAATCAGCGGAACAACTGGCCTCCAGAAGTTCTGAATGCTCCAACACTGGGAGTTTTAAGAAGAGGTTGGATAACCATTTGTCGGAAGTCGGGTAGGGTTTCCTGCCTAAGCAGGGGGTTGGACTAGAAGACCTCCAAGGTCCCTTCCAACTCTGTTATTCTATTCTATTCTATTCTATTCTATTCTATTCTATTCTATTCTATTCTATTCTGAAATCAAAACAGAAATAGAAATGGAAATGGAAATGGAAATGGATTGGAATAGAAGAGAAGAGAAGAGAAGAGAAGAGAAGAGGCAAAGAAAAAATAAGTATAAGAATGGAAATGGAAATGGAAAGGAAAGGAGTGGGAGTGAAGGATTGAGAGAAGAAAGAAGGGAAGGGAAGAAGGGGAGGGGAGGGGAGGGGAGGGGAGGAGAAGAGAAGAGAAGAGAAGAGAAGAGAAGAGAAGAGAAGAGAAGAGAAGAGAAGAGGCAAAGAAAAAATAAG